TAAAGCTGAGAGCGAGCATGCAAGAGCCAAATAATTTTGTCTAATTCAGTCAGGAATTCAGATGAGTGGATGCCAAAAAGATTAACAATCTTATCAATACTTCTCTTGAGCATGGAGAATCATGTCTTTGTGGTTTCTTTCATTACTGTCATCCATCTGACTAGTGGCTGATCTCGATGTTTCCGCTAGATAAGTTGTGCTGAAACTCGTAGTTGGCTAATTTAAAACATTATTTATGCTATTCTGTCTCCACAAAAGGTGTACTAAGGTTGCAAACTGTTCCCCATCGGAAATATTTGGGAACGCTTTAGCATTTGCAATACCATTCTCGACTTCTGCGTGCTTAAAGAGAAGTCAAAAGCCCTTTACTCTAGCGATGGTGGAAATCGTTCATTTTTGTGCGGCGGGTACATGTGCGCCTTAAAATTTGGTTCTCCTGGCAAGGGGACTGCGGAGTTTCCATCTTACCTGCACAGCAGGGATAACCTTGTCCGAGCGAAGACAGCGCACAAGGATGAGTCGATTCATGTCAGACGTCTTTTGAAAGGGAGCCGGAAATGTGGCTTCGTGTGGCACTGGACTGTCATATACCATCTTCCACCGGTTCGGATCACTTCTCACGCCTTTATTTCAATGAAAAACCGATTATTCTTGGTCATAATTGTGGTAATTAACCGAGTTTCCAAAATCTAAGATAACCAGACCTTGTCTGTCTTCCTCAGAGCCGTTTCAGTTTAAGATACTTTTGGTCACTGTAGTTGTACATCAACCTCCACAAGTAAGTCATCTAAGCCATTTCAATGTAGTTTAAAGTGCTTTTTAAAACTCATTATTCGTTCCGTCTGCTTCATGAGACTCACTTTTCATGAGGCCTTCAAGAGCGGGTAGTTCACTAGCTCGCACAATTTCTGACCAGTTTTTCTCACCGAGCCAAGTTGGTGCGGGATTCGGATGCGGATTCTCAAGAGCCACTCCACCAGTGAGGAAGAACCGCCAGTCAGTGTCCTCCACCTCGCCTCTACCAGCGGAAGAGAAAGGCCACATAACTGCGTATTCATGGGCATGGACAATCAATGATCCGTGGATCTGGTGGATAAACTGCAATGCAAATCCTGCAAACATGCTTTGGGGAGATGTGAAGACACTGAAATGTTATGGCACTAATCCGTACTTCGGTTATTCGTAAGTTTAGGCCGTGAAAGCAGTGAGATAGGAAGAGCCTGACCTGTTGCACAGTCTACAGCATAAATGTTGCTTAGATTAAGGTGACAGGCTGAAAGAAAGCCAAATAACAGGCACAAATCTATCCATCTCAACTTGTACCAAGCAATTGCCGACTCTGAAAGGGAACTTCCGACAAACTTGAAACACTTTTTGAGGCAAGATGAT